CCCCCCCCCCGTACACACACGGCCACACAGAGGGGACCCCCCCGTACACACACACAGAGGGCACCCCCCGCCCCCCGTACACACACACCGAGATCCACACCCCCCCCGTACACACACACAGAGCCACACAGAGGGACCCTCCGGTACACAGATGGGAACCCCCTCCCCTTCCGTACACACACCGAGGGACCCCCCGCTCCCCGTACACACACACATACGGACCCCCCCCCGTACACACACACAGGGTACCCCCCCGCACACACACAGAGCCACACTAGCCCACCCCCCCCGCACACACACTCACAGACGACCCCTCCACACACTCCTGAGGGCACTCCCGCACCCCGCGGAGGCCCTGCAGCCCCGATCCCCAGCATGCGGCCGACCCCCCCGCACGATCCGCTCCCCGCCGCCCCGCTCACCTCCTCGGGCGCCGGGGACGCGGGGCTGGGCACGGGGCTGCTCCCCGCCGAGCACGGCCCGCCGCGGGGGCAGGGTTCCGCCGGCTGCCCACCGGCGCTCATGCCGGTGCCGGTAGCAGTCCCGGTGCGGTGCGGTGCGGTGCCCGCCGCCGGTGGGAGCGAGGCTCGAGCGCCGCCCCGGCCGCAGGGGCGGGACCACCTGGTGGCGGGGAAGGCGGAGGCGGGGCCTCGCCTCGACCGTCCCGGTGCGGGGGGGGTGCCGGTGAGTGTCCGCCCCTCCCGGTACCGAACACCGGAGCGCAGCCAGGCTGGACGCGCCCGGACCCGCCGCCGCCGCCAACGGCAACGCCGAAGCACCGCCCACCGCCCGCGCGGGGTCGCGGCTCATGGAATGTTGAGGCTCGGGGGGGAACACCGCGCTCGAACGGTCCCCGCGCGCCCCCGAGGGCGGGGCGGCACCCACCACACCGGGGGGCTCCGTCCGACCTGGCCCGGAACAACTCAAGGGATGGGGCATCCATAGCTGCTCTGGGAAACCTGTGCCACTGCCTCACTACACTCCTAGGGAAGTCTTCCTGACATCCAACCTGAATGTCCCCCTTGCAGTTTAAAGCCATTCGCCCTTGTCCTATGACTATGTGCCTGTATAAAAACTTCCTCTACCTCTTTTCTAAATATTTCAATAGCAAAGTCCAGTCCAGAAATTGCATTTTCCTATTACTGGATGAGGATAGGCACCCCACGAGCAGGGACATAGGTAAGGCAGAGATGTTT